CCTCCCGTCAGCAGAAATCCGTTTTAGTTTAAATTTTCTTTCTTCCTTTCCATGCCTTCCTTCTTTTTCCGCTGGCCTTCAGACTTTTTTTGGCTTACTATTGAACTGTCGACGTTCGCCGGTTGTTTTTGGATACTCTGGTTTCCTTGCCCACTGATTCGATTTGCTTCCGTAGCCGTGTTCTTGCCTTTGCTGTGGTCTTGGCGCACCAAATTGGCTTCGTTGCTCATACTGGCGTCTTCTTTCAATGTCCGCCGTTCTTCTACTTTTCAAACTGGATTGCTAGCTCAAATAACTTTTCCAGTGTAGTCGGATTCCTTAATTCAATAAAGTCTTGTACTTGGGGAAGTAACCTCGGCAAAATCACTTGAATTATCTCAGGATCCGGACGGTTTCCATACAAGAGTTTTAAAGACGTGAATTTTTCTTAAAATAAAGCTGGAGAGATTTTCGATTCGTTGCTGGTATATGCTGAAGAAGTTCCGTTTCTAAACTTTGCACGATCTCCCTTACGACAGGGAAGGCTTTTACTAAGGCAGTCTTAAAATTTTCGTAAGTATAGGTGGGACTTCCCGCTTGACCCAAGAGGCTTCTGCCTATACATTTGAACCAATTAAGCGCTTGGCCCCTCAAAGCGCTGGTAGCTAAGGTGACTTTCTGGAACTCATGGACTGGATACAGCATGAAGTGGTCATCCAATTTTTCCAAAAAACTGGTTACCGGTGAGTTTCCATTAAATGTTGCTTCTGGTTTCATCGATGCGCGCATGGTCTGGACGATGTATTGTACCCAAATCCTTCCAGGGCGGCAGCTGGCATTTCTGGATTCTGAGCCGCTTCTGCAGGCACCACAGGTTCTTCTTGAAACTCGGCCATGGTTATTCTTCTTCGTCGGGCGCCACTATCAGGACTTGTATTTCTCTTTACTTTGCTTTGGAAACATGAACTGGTCCTGACTCGGAACAGGGAGCTTACTCAAAGCTATGTTCAATAAGGTGTGAAGTAGACAACACACAGGAAGGGTATACGAAACCCTTTATTTTTCATCTTTACAATAATTTCCGGAACTTCGGAATACAGAGACCAACCACTTGTGGTCTGAACGTAAGAATATAAAATATAACTAAACTCTAACTAACTAACTTGGAATTAATATACAAGTGCCTAGCAAAGATTGGCCGTTATTTAACAAAAGCCGTATGTAGTACAGAGAACTGCTAAAACTACGATACGTTTGCAAATTATCAAGAGGATAAACCTCTGGCCTTGAAGGCAACCAGCAACCGAGTAAAACTACTAGTGGCAAGCGGCTTGCTTCGAATAACTCCTTCCTCTCTCTTGCTTGGCAAAAAGCCACAACTTAAGTACTTGGCGTTCGCAAGACAAATTTGCATAAACAAGTTAAAGCATTTAATTCTGGCCGGAAGTAGAAAATAAGAAGTGATAGTACAGTTTTAAAATAAAAATAAACGTTAGTAAAACTTAGGATCCTTACAATGTAATTAATCGCTTTATGGAGCCTACTGCAAAGTAAATAAAGAGTGTTCCTATATCATTAAAATTACCAAACCAAGAGAATGTTGATTTGTATTTCCGTCCTAAATTCAAATTTGCGCAGTTATCCAGATTTGTGTAGTGTCCTAATATCCAGATTTACACAATGATACGTGTTGAATTTTGATCTAAGTCAGTAAATTCGTTTCTCTAATATTGTTACGTGTGTACGGGTTCATAATATACTGAATGCACACAGCTCCAATGACAGATTGATAAAATTTATTTTATCAAAAGAAACACTTCAGAATTCAGGAACTTGCCACAAAAATAGTCGTAAAACACTTCAAAATATCACAGGGTACAATCAGTACAGTCAGTAATTACACTTCAAATCTCTATGTGAGGAAGTTGGAACGTATAAATAATGAGTTTTTAGTATTTAACTTAGTACAGCGCAAATAATATTTTAATCATACGACTTTTCGCTTGCGGGAGATGCATAGAAATAGGTAAAGCTTTCATTTCAAAAAACCGCTTTACCTTCAGTATCGAAGTGGTTTTCATAAAATTTTCTACTCTATTTTGAAAAAGTCTAAACGGGAAATATATGCCTACAAGCAACAATAAAGCAAAATAAAGCCTCTAGCTAAAATTTTAGAATATCTTGTCTCTAAAATTAAGCGTCATGCTGTTTCATGAATAATTTGACAACTGAATGTAACTACAGTGGAACAGCTTTTCAGCATACAATATACACTAACGTTTATGAAAATTGCAACACCATAAAGCAGTTATGCAAATCGAAACAAACTTACAGGAAATGTAAAGTGAGGTAAGACATGCGAATCATTTGAATTACAAAGCCATTGCACATCCGTGGAATGAGAACCGACCGCCGTTCCATATATATAAAAGACTGTAAATTGCTTTGAAATCTCTTCATCGTCCTCTGCCTACGGTGAACGTTTAATTAGTGGTCAATATGCCTTGTCAACAGCCGAGGGAGCCATTCCACCGCATGGCTGTGACGGATCGTGCAGCATCCTCTTGTGTATTAGCCTAACGTTGGATCACAGCTACACGTTGGCCTTGTGTTGTCTAACGTTGGCCTTGTGTTGTCTAGCTCCACGATTAGCCGCCGTCTGTTAGAGCATGAACTGCGTGTAAGGGTTCCTGTACGCAGGATTCCCCTGTCGCCTAATCACAGAAGCCTCCGACTTCAATGGTTATGGCTACACAGTGCATCGCTTGCCCTGTGGTAAAAAGTTGTTTTCTCCGATGAATCTCGCTACAATATGAAGTATAATGATGGGAGAGTACGCGTCATACGTTACAGAGGGAAGCGTCTGCTCCCACAGTGTGTTATTCAACATCATACTGCAGAAATGTCCGGCATCATGGTGTGGAGAGCTATTGGGTGTAATTGTCAATCTCATCCACTACAGAGTGCGGAAAGTCACAACAGTGATCGCTGCATAAGGGAAGCTGTGGAGACAGAGGTCCTTTCCATTCTTCGACGCATTTTGGGCGCTGTATTTCAGCAGGATAATGCCCGTGTTCATTTTTCTCAGTTTGCATAAGCCTTCTTTAGGCACAGCAGGTTTCGCATTTTTCATCGGTGGCTTATTCCTCGGATATGTCGCCCATTGAGCATGTCTGAGATTTCTTCGGTCGGCGACTCGCTCGTACAGCTGGTGGGGCATACACTAAGACTGAACTTTGGCGTCAAGTCGAAGCCATATGGAATGCCGTTCATTAGGGTTACAGTCAAAACTTGTATGATTCAATGCCCCTATGTGTACAGTCTCTCATTGCTCAGCGTGGTGGACACACAAAGTACTGATTTCCGACGTTCGTTTTGATTTTCGTCTTGTAAATTTGATCTTTTATTTGTACCACTATCAGCAATATGTGAAATAAACTTCGTTCATTTCCTGCAATTCCTTCATGGTGTTGCATTATTCACAAAGATTAGTGTAGATAAAGGTATTTTATGTTCATTTTTAACACTTTCTTATAATCACGGGCAATAAGAAACTAAGTGTAGATGTAGTTTATTTTAAAATAAAATTGTTAGACGCGTTATGAAAGAAAACCCGATTATCCTTTTTAGAAAAATTTATGAATTTCTGATATAGGAAGTGTATATGTTAAAAGATTCGAATATTTACTGTTAACAAAGCCGAAATAATATTTTATAAATATCAGTAATTTCGAAACATTATTTTAATTATTTCCTCCAGATCTCTTGCCTATGGCAGATATGTAATCACCAAGAGACATAACAAACCCAGAAGATCCACGACATCTTAACGGAAAACGAGTTGGCAGTTGTTGCTTCAAGTTGGTGAAATCTTGACTTTCAAAGATAGGTCCACCTGTTTAAGGAAATTGGTGTACTAAAATGTTTACGCTGATTTTTCGGTTGAGTAAAAATGTTTCAAGATTCACTATTGACTAATCCACCGATCTGTTAGTAGTATTAATCAAATTACTCACTCAGAACACCGATTAGAAAAATGTATGTTCCCTTAATTCCACGAAACTAGTTTCAGATAACCGTCCAATTAGCACATAGCCTTGAAGGATATAATTTCATATGGAAGGTTAGTTAATCAATATGTACTTCAGGAAACGAATGACTGTACTGCTGTTTCTGAGAAGTATTATATGTTAAATATATTAAGTCGTTTCGCTCTTCTGCGATAGCTATATAATTACGGTGAGCAACAAAAGATAAATCCCAGTTAATTAGGTAGGAACAACAAATAGTCAAAACTTCACACTTGGAAACAGTTTCTTGTAATATTTAATGCTATTTTTTTTTTACAGCCATTACTTATGGATGCGTTTGCAATAGTTGGATGTATAACAAGCTTGCTATTTATTATCATCATTGGGTGGCAACTTTACAACAGGAAACGGAAGCCCCGATTTAACAACAGACTTGTCATTGCTGAAAGCCTCCAGCCTCAGATTGTGTGCTGCTCAGTACCTTGTCAACATCCATACTATAGAGTTATTTCAGAATGCACAGAATATAAAATCCCGCAAGAAAAAACGTTCGTGAAAGAAAAGGTAAAACGGAATTTTTTTGCCATTTAGATTACGCTAGAAAAAGTTATTTTAAAATCAACGAAGTTATATATTTTTAAGAATAAATCTTTCAATTCATCAGATTTATAAGGATCATGTAGCCTTTATTAGTATTGAAAATATAGTGAGATTTATTGCGACCCTGGGATACAATACACTTCTGTAAAAACCTGAAATAGTTCGCGTTATCAAATATTCTTCCTTTTTGGTGATGTCTTAACAGTCGACAATCCAAGTTTCAGAAAAAAATGAATTTTTTATATGATCTCGGTAAGACTTAAAATTTTGTTAGTAAAATATATATTAGGATTTAACTAATGTGAAGCAATACATTACAAGCTTTCATGTGGAATATTCGTGGAAATATTGCAATGTATTTGCCAACTTCTTTTTTTTTCTTCATGCTTGTTATAGACTTAATTCGACACTACAAAACTGAATATGCGAATTTTGGCAATTGGTCAAAACGATTTTTGCTGTTAGATTTGAAACACTACACTTTTAATTTGAGTGAATACATTTGTGAAGTAATATTTTTCCAAACCCTCTTTAACATTAATAAGCGCGGTCAAGATAAGCCAAACGTTAAAGTATCTTGGCATTATCTTACATAAGTTCAATTGGATTCCGCATATACGCCGCCTGCTGACAGGAAAAACCTGGGGTACCTTTTCAGCACTTCTAAAAAGTGTGGTATCACATGGTGACAATGCCAGCAGTATGCTATAGTGTATCAGTTTTGTGTACCTCGTTATATGCATTTAAAGTCAGAAACATTCTCAGCCTCTTAGTCACCACAGTATACGAGACTACTCCTATAAATGCTGTGCTCAGTCTTGTAGGCCTCAAACCACTATATCTAGTAGCGCAAAAATGAGGCATCACGGCAAAAGTGCTAAGGTTAAGAGTCGACGTCAGTACTCACGATATCTCCTCCCTGAGCATTGATTATGAGAAGACTATTACATCGGCAAAATTCCATCCTACAAGATATATCCATGAGGCTTTTGTCAGCGATAAAGCAGAAGTAACAGCAGAACTTGAAATGTAAACTGATGGCTCTAAGAGACAGAAGACAGTGCAACCAATGCCTTCTACACGAAGATGGGGAATAACTAGATTTTCCTATGGTCAGCCTGGATGAGATACCTTAATTTTGTCTTTCAGGCAGAATTATTTAAAGTTCTCAAAGGAGTAAAGTGGGCATCCGGTAAAACTTTTAGAGCAGTTATACTAGTATTGTCTAGTATTGAAGCTTAAGCATAACTTAAAGCAGGCCTGTAGCTCTTATGGGGGGTTGCAAAGAAAGAGTACATTTCCATGAATTTTGCATGTAAAAGTATGAAATAATTAGTGAATTTAACTATTCGCATAAAATTCTACACCTGATATTAAGGTAATTTGTAGAGATATATATATATAGATCAATGTTTAAAGAAATAAAGTGTCACTCTTTTCAGATATTTTGTATGTCTTCAATATACTAAAGTCGGCTATAAGCATAGATTGGGACAAATAAGTATTCTTATCCTTGCATTAAATTTGCAGCCCTTGTAAAATAATTTCTATTTATATTATGCAACACTTGAGTATTGCTTACCATTTTAATGTGGTTACATAATCCTTTTAAAAGACATAACAAACAAGGATCCTTCTGATTCTTTAACATAGGTATGAGAGAAAAAAATCAAAAGTTTATAAGAATATTAACGTCCAAATCATACAAAGAAAATAACCTCAAATGCATGTAAAGATATTAACGAAGTAATTGTACGCAAATTCACTTTATTTCTATATAAGGTATTTCTCCCTCCTTCTTAGCATGCGTTCGTGGTGTAGTGGTCAGCCCAATCGCCGCGTATTTGAGAGGTCCGTGGTGCGAGTCCCGGCGAAGGCATTGCTCATTTTTCATCTCTCCTGCTTTAAAAAAATACCTAATGTCGCTACAGTGGCGCCCGAACTAAAAGGTGGGGAATGATGATTATTTACCACTAGGATTTGGCGATTGGGTCCCCTAAACCCAAGTCGCCCTTTAAAAGGGTGGTATATAAGGTATTTCTCCCACTTTCTTAGGATTCCTGCAATCTTAGGCAGGAACGCACGACTAAATTTAGCCACAAAAAGGCTAGTTTGTCTCCAAACTATTCGTCCAATTATCCTCTACGCGGCACCAGCCTGGGCAGCCACTGCAAAAACTAATCGTCTACTTCTACAAAAACAAGAAAACATTCATCTCAGAATAATTTCAAATTCCCCCTGGTACGTTCGAAATTCGGTCATCCGGAGAAAACTTAAAATAAATTCAATAAACGAAGAAATTCATAAAATATCAGAAAAATTCCATCAAAAGTGCGATCATCATTTTAACCAAGTGATCAGAAAATTAGGGAACTACGACTGCAAAATTAATCAAACCTTCAAAAGACCTCGCTCTATTTTCTACAATAACAACTGGAATTAACTTCCTCGATCATAATGTAAATTTATGTATATACTCATTAATCCCGGGCAAGCAGGAATAGACTTTCCGCCTGATCAAGCAGGCTTATGGACTTATTGTGCACTAAATTTTTATTACCTTCCAATTTTTTACTCATCTATTTATTCAAGACTTAATTACTCTAGATTTTACGTTTTATTCTACAAATTGTCTCGCTTCAAGTTAAAAATTTATAAGTCCAATTTCATAGAATGTGATCATGTGACCTACGAAAAAATTTCTGATTGGCTTTCGTCCTCTCACAATTAGAGTCAAACAATTAGAGAATTGTATATATTAGTTTTTACTTTACTTTACTTATATTTTACTTATCTTACAAATGTTTTATCTCAGTGTATCCAGTGTAACTCATCAGCAACTTTCATCCTCATCTAAAAATATGCTTTTCCAATAATTGCTTATCAAAAATAATTGCTTTACTCATCCAACGCTACTCCCAGCAAATTCTTGTACCTCAACCAACAGATGGAGCCACAGGACCCTGACCAAGTATCCTCTACTCAAGAAAGTTTCCACTTTAAATTACTAAAGTTGATTTATTTCATCACTATGACGTACCCCGTAGGATAAATTACTTCTGAGTCAAAGTCCCCAGGACTAAATACTCATCGCTACTTCAATTCATGCCATTTCAATTCATGCCAATTCTTAGCATTCCTTCGTGGTGTAGTGATCAGCACGCTCGATGCGTATTCGAGAGGTCCGTGGTTTAGAGTCCCGGCGAGGGCATTGCTCTTTTTTCATCTCTCCTGCTTTCAAAAATTATCTAATGTCTCTACAGCTGTTAAACTGGATTTTATTTAAGTATATCTTGTTCAAATGTAATATAAAGTTAATGCTTATTTTCATGCATAGTTTAAAATGGAATCTGACCAAGTATCTTCGTTCATTTTGTTTCGTGGCTGTTTTGTCACAATCTAAATGATTCAGTCCAATACAATCCAATCTAATTTATACATGATGACCTGAAATTTCATTCTCAAGCCCAGCTTTTAAGAGATTTTTATTTTTTACATTTCTTGTGATTCTGGAATCTGAGTGCCCAAATAACGAGATGAGTATGCACTCTGCTACAAATTATAATTCAAAGTACTTCACTGAAATTTAGTTTTCTTTATGCTGATGCACTCTGCTATTCCCGGAAACGAGTAATTCCCTGAAGATTTGATTTCTTTATGCTGATTAATTTCGATTAAATTAATAATCAAAATAAAATTTTACTACGTTTTATGAACGAAACTCGCGTTGGTTCTGAGGTCTCATTCCACTTATAAAGTATGCAGGGTTTAATTTATAAAATTAGAAGTCTCGAAGCACTATGGAAAGCCATTGGGACACAGCGTAGAGAAATAAATAAATTGATACACAAGGAATTAAAATAAATGAAAGGCAAAACATTTATAAAAAGTACTTATCAATTAATAATTTGAGGAATAATAAATTAAATTATTCTAATTCATTTTAAAAATGAAAACAAATAAAAAGCAAATGAAGGATGACAACAAAGATAAATCAGTCAAGGGGAAAAAAAAAAAGGTTTTGAAGAACTTTCTCCGAGGTTAGATAAAATTGCTTTCTTATTTTTACTTCTAACTCACTTGAACACTTTTTGATTGAATGGATAGAATCAATAAATATTCGTGCTTCTGAAGTGATAGCATTTCGAAATAGGAAGGTAATATTTTCCTCTTGGGGGAGGGGGGGTCAGGTTTACCTGCGTAATTTGCTCTTCCGAGTGAAAGTACAGTTATACATTCAAAAGTTAGTATCAATGTCAGTTTTATTAACTTATTAAAGGAATACTGCATTAATAACAGAAATTTTTACTTCATATTACTATTCAATTATGTAAAGTATCAGAGCTCATGTTACTCGTGGCTTCAGCGCCTTCCGACTACCACTAAGATAGTAATTAATTATTATTCACTTGCTTATAAAAGTGAAACTTATGTTCTTTTGCCACAAACAATTTATTAAATAAAATTACTTTTCTTACTTGAAAGCAGTTTCATTTAATCAGATGCAAATAAAACATTTATCAGCACAACTTTAGCATGATATCTTTTAATTATTTTAAATCCTCCTTTGTAAATTCAGTCTTTTCCTTTACTTCATTATCTTCTCAGATATTAACTGTTGATGTGGCTTTGCTGGATAGTTTGTAAGAATAAGAACGTTAATATGAAACATTTATTTATAAAACTTCTCTGTTATTTAAAAGCATTATATTTCAGCCTTTGCTTTGTATTGCTTTTTTGGTTTATATTTTGGAGTGGACAAGCATTTTTTTTTCTATATTTCAGGTTCTTATGACCAAAAAAGAAGTCAGAGAATACTGCCATAATTATCACATAGAGCTTTATAAATTCGACGACTTTTGCCTTCGTAACAAAATGTCTTTGTTTACTTTTCAGATGCAGTTTTCAGGCCTTTCCACTCTTTCGGACATTTGAAAAAATATTAAGCTTTCGAAAACTATTCA